TGCAATGATCATGAGAACGGTGAGGAATCAGCCCAGAACTACACGGGAGGATCTTGTCAATGATATCAAGGCAACTGGGACCATAGTCACCAAGAAAACAATTTGTAACACACTACACCGTGAAGGACTGAAATCCTGCAGCGCCCGCAAGGTCCCCCTGCTCAAGAAAGCACATATACATGCCCGTCTGAAGTTTGCCAATGAACATCTGAATGATTCAGAGGACAACTGGGTGAAAGTGTTGTGGTCAGATGAGACCAAAATGGAGCTCTTTGGCATCAACTCAACTCGCCATGTTTGGAGGAGGAGGAATGCTGCCTATGACCCCAAGAACACCATCCCCACCGTCAAACATGGAGGCGGAAACATTATGCTTTGGGGGTGTTTTTCTGCTAAGGGGACAGGACAACTTCACCGCATCAAAAGGACGATGGACGGGGCCATGTACCGTCAAATCTTGTGTGAGAACCTCCTTCCCTCAGCCAGGGCATTGAAAATGGGTCGTGGATGGGTATTCCAGCATGACAATGACCCAAAACACACGGCCAAGGCAACAAAGGAGTGGCTCAAGAAGAAGCACATTAAGGTCCTGGAGTGGCCTAGCCAGTCTCCAGACCTTAATCCCATAGAAAATCTGTGGAGGGAGCTGAAGGTTCGAGTTGCCAAACGTCAGCCTCGAAACCTTAATGACTTGGAGAAGATCTGCAAAGAGGAGTGGGACAAAATCCCTCCTGAGATGTGTGCAAACCTGGTGGCCAACTACAAGAAACGTCTGACCTCTGTAATTGCCAACAAGGGTTTTGCCACCAAGTACTAAGTCATGTTTTGCATAAGGGTCAAATACTTATTTCCCTCATTAAAATGCAAATCAATTGATAACATTTTTGACATGCGTTTTTCTGGATTTTTTTGTTGTTATTCTGTCTCTCACTGTTCAAATAAACCTACCATTAAAATTATAGACTGAGCATTTCTTTGTCAGTGGGCAAACGTACAAAATCAGCAGGGGATCAAATACTTGTTTCCCTCACTGTACCTACAACTTGCTTCAATTGACAGGGCACAACTGCATTTTTCAAGGCTGCAAATTTCGTTGGTTTCCACTTTATTGATTTGTGCATTCACTTGGCTGAGTAAATAATCCAGCTGCACACCAGGGCTTTTGTTTTAGATAGCGGCACAAGGCGCCAGAATAAAGTGAAAAAAACTGAGATTCATTTTTGACACAAAGGGTATTTGCCTATTGCCATTGGGCAGTCCAAGCAAGACTGACTATGCTGATGAGACACTGAATGTTGAACCTGGTCCAACGTTTGCTTGGATATTGAACCATTGCTGCTGATAAGAAGGCCGTGCAGCCAATGAGATGTGTAAACAATCCTTGTGAGTGAGTGACGCAGCATTGCCGACCCAGCAGCCCGCGTCACGCGAGCCTTTGCGCTGCGTGGAAGCAGCCCCACACTGCTCCAGCAGTTGCTGTGTGCAGACAGAGGAACACAAAAGTTGTTGCATTTTTCCTATTTAAATGAGGAGATGATAGATGTAGCGAAAAGCCTTCAGTCAGCGAATCTGTCGCTTCACACCAGTGTTGATCACATGACATACATTGCAGCTGATGTCCATAGACAATAATGAGCGATCATGGCTGATTGTAAACCATCAGGATTCACATGAACATCAGATTGACTGTTAAGATAAAGTAAGTGGGCTTTGGGCAAGACATCACTCAAAGAAATCATGGCTGAAGAACAAGGCTGGTTACGGAATGACAAAGCAGGAATACATTATATGTGTGTATGTTGAACTTCTTTCATACCGTACGTAGCAAACCGTGCTAATCGAATGTGCAGGGGAAGGACAACACACAAAACACGTGCCTGAGAGGATGACCACCGCAGAGATAACAGCGATGAGATTAGCCATGTGCAGGAATGAGATGAGTGTGAGGGACTGTGAGGGATGATCATGCCAAGGGGAAGGCTTCAGTCAGAAGTGGATAGGACATGGGTAATTATCATGATTCATGAGAGACTGATGTACATTCAAATAATGGTACAGATGGGCTAGGAAGCTGAAATTTGACACACTTAGAGTCACGTATATCTTTGAACGCGATACGAATTTTCAGCCGTTGGATGAAGGTAACCCACTGTCGGCCATGATAACTTATGACCATACTTCACCACGCTGATCAGTGTGAGTGGTTGAGGGGAAGTGGGGGCAGACCGGTTCAGAGGTGTCACGCCACACCGATAACATCGCGCTAGCGATGTTCGCCATGGCCGGGAATTGAACTCGGCATGACGGGTTAACCACTGTGCCGTCACCGCTTGTCAGTAGAAAAATACAAAACACAAATTGTATGTATTTAAGCCCCCAAAACGTATGACCCAAAGTTTCATTGGTTTCTAAATTGCTTCATGTCCAGTGCTAAAAATAAACCAACCCCATTATCAGTACACTATTAATGTTCCTGCCACAGAGTGTGACACTCAAATTGATAGAAAACTGGCAGAACCCACTCCCCCATGTCCGAGCGGTGCGCGTTATGACCATCGCCGACCATCTTAGTTCATAGTTCAGTTTATTTTGGTATAGCCCTGTGAGCCATTCGGCTCTTGAATAGGGTGCAACCGCAACAAACAAAAAACAAAAACACGAACAAGAAAAACATCTTAAAGTGACTATGTGACTGTACAAACAGAAAATCCATGAAAAATACAGCAAAATATTCCTGAAATAGCACCGTACACCAACGCTGTGTGCAAAAATCCCAGTGGGATGCAAGTCAAACAACAACAACAACCACAATACAACTAAGATTAAGGCCATCAGTCTAACTCCGTACTACAATAAACAAAAACATGGCCAAACAAAAAAAACGTTTTCGAAATCACCAAAATAAAAGCCATAAATGCAATGTAACGGTGATCAGAGGGACTGTGACCGAATTTTTAACAATAAACTATATATGGCTCTCGTGCGACAAGCGCCTCCACGGTTAAAGCAACACACGAGGCTCTCGGAATCGCAGTCGAGCGCAATGCACAGGCTTCGAGCGGCGCGTTGCAAGCGGCGCGTCTCGCGAGAAGCGGCGCGTTGCAAGCGGCGCGTCTCGCGAGAAGCGTCGCTGCGATCGCGACCGTGGGGGCAGGGTGCAGCAGCAGCAGCAGCCCCGGTGATGCTGCTGCACTCGCCTCGCTCGCTGCACGTAGGAACGCTATTAGCCGCCACCACCACTGCGCTGGCCGCTGTTGGCTTTTCCGATCTGCCTAATCCGCTAACGCCGCTCAGCAGCCTCGGGGGCCATGGATAAACAAGTCGCGTTCCCTTCCGCTGGGACCAACTTAGCCGGGGTCTCCCACAACAATGCCACACCGCTGTCAACCGTCGTGCCCCTAATGTCCTCGCCAAACCAGCAGGCCCGGCTCCAATTTACTCCGTGCGGCCGAGGAGTAAAGAGCCCAAGCGAATTGCAACTAAATAAATACGTCGATAAGTCGGCGCTCAAATACGCACGCAAATAGGTATGTGGATAATTACCGCAAATTAATCACTGGGGAAAGCACGCAGAGAGAGAGAGAGATCCGAAGATGCACCCTGGAGTCGCTCAAGATTGATGCTCAATGAGTGTATTAAATACTAAACGGGGAGTAAATATTCCAAACTACATTTGTCGATGAATGCTCTGTTACTCCACAGAGAATGGCAATTTATTCCAGCGTAATGTTGACTGATGTGCAGCGGCATGCGGCAGAGCAGAGCTGTGGTTTTCACACCTGATGATGATTGCTTGTGTTGCAGTCGAAACGTCGTGAGAATTGTATTGTTTTTATATTTTTATTATTTTATTGTTTTATATTTTTATTATTGTATTGCTTCCCTTCTACGTGACTTTACCGAAAGAACCAAGAATATGAATGCTTCTTCCGTTAACAACTACGGCGTCTGTTGCAGTTTCAATGCAATAACGTGTTTGAGCAAGCAACTAATTGGGTGATAATTTTTGTGATTATTGCCTTTCAAAGGAGCATGAATAAAAATGTTAATTATTTTCGCAAAATGTAAATGTTCCACAAAATTAATTGCTGTAATATATTACACGAATAATTTCCAAGTTGTGTGCCTATGTGTGTGTCTCTGTCTCTGTGTGAGTCTCTCTTTGCTTGTTTGTCTGTCTGTGTGTCTCCGTGTCTATGTTTGGTCTCTCTCTCAAATTTAGCAATTTTTTGTAGAACGTAATCAACCAGGTGGGGTGTTGACTGTTTTGTTGGCCGACTGTCTGTGTTGTATTGCATTATATTTCCAAGTTTACTATGTTTACTCATTCATTTGTACCTGATGATGGTTGCTTGTGTTGCAATCGAAACGTCGTATTCTATTATTATTTTATTTATTTCTACGTTACTTTACCGAAAGAACCAAAGATTTGATGAAAATACTCTCTCCGCTCTCTCGTTGGTGTGGATGTATAATTGTATTTTTAAGATTAAATAATACCGTCAATATGACCATTAAAAACAATTTCACAAACCTATAAAATGCAGTGTATAAGAAATAATGAAAGGTATTTAAAATAAATAGACATTCGATGTACTGTACAATCATTCCCATTCTCTCCACAATTAAACTAAACTGCATCGGTATGGAAGGTTTTGTGCGAAGTTGGTTTTGAGATGTCAAATGTAATCGTGCAAAATGCGCTTTCCTTATATACATTTTATGAACATGAAAATATTTAAATCTCAATTGAAACATTTATATTTCTTAAAATTGTATTTAAAATATATATTCTCTGTAATTTTTTAATACAAATCCTAATATTAACTACACTCGTAGGATTAAAACACCAATATAACAAACATTATTATAGGAACATAAACATTTTTTAGTTTTTCAACATGTCTATAGCAAAAGCCACGAAAACAACCAATGGTTTGATAATAGTGCAAACTCAACTCCTTGATAATTCTCGTGACTACGTGTCTTGTATTGTCTGCACTGAAGGGGAAACTCGCATCTCCGTATTTGTTGCAAGCACCTTTGGCAAGGTCAAAAAAGGCATGAACATTGACAGCCACGAAATGATTGATTACAGCAGGAGCCATAGAAATTCCCAAAATTAAAATAAACACAACGGAAAACCTCACTTTCATTTCCAAATAAAATGTGTATTCAAATGTAGCCAACACATTTAAATAAAACAAATACATTCGAATGCAGTGAAGACATACCGAGATTATGTAATGATCGATTGTGCACGCAAATGCATGAGACAAATGAAAACAACCCTACGATATTAAAGGTATTAAACTGGTTCGCTAAATAGCTCTATTTCAAGTTGTAACATGAAAAAAGAGAGACGTAACAACGAATGCCTAATGCCTTTCATCTTTGACTGTGATGCTTGTGTTTTGCATTCTATTTTAACCATTAGAATATCAAACGAGGCCGTTGACAATCCTGCGAGAGCCATCAAAGTGACTCTCAAGCAGTCCAGTGCAGCGGTGGTCCAGCGCGACGGAGCGCCTACTCGGGGCACAATCGTGCGTCAACAGACACTGGAGCTTTCTAGACAAACCAGAGGGGCCCTCTTTTTCTGAACGTTTTTTTTTTTGCCATATGAAATTTCATCTGCGTGTGGCTAGAAGCCAGTGGGCTATTCGTTACAAGACCGCGCGCACGAACGTAAATAATTTAGTTTGGCCAATGACCAGACTGGCACCAGCACCAGCAAGGCAGCGAGCATAAACCTACAAAGGGACAGAACGCGAAGCCGTCAAGCAGAGGCGGCCGAGGGGTCTCTCACTTACGTGGGCGACAGCACCGCACTGCAGGTATTTCTTGCCACTTCTTTTTTCACCGCGGGTGGCAGAAATCACCGAGATGCACCACGTATTCCTACTCGTTGGTTTTCACCCTTCACCAGACGGCGACACCACGAGTAGCCTGCCGCGGATTTCAGGTCGGCTCGCGCGCCCGCCAGATGCGGTATTCGGATGCTCTGCAGCGACAACGCGTCTCTCACGAACTTCAAGCCTCATGCCATTCTTTCCACACTGGAAGTGCCGGCCGGGAGGGCGAGAGGAGGGTGTGGCGGACGACCCTGGCATCGCTCGACGAAGGGCCTCCCACTGGCTTCCTTACATGGCGTTTGCGCATGAATATGCATTGCAAGACAGGGCAGCCCCCCCCCCCCCCCCGTCTCTAAGATTCCTCCTGGCGATGCAACAGCAGCAGCCTCCCGGAGCAATCGTAGTCACGAGTGACTGCGTAAGCGTCCACGGCAGAGGCAGCGGCAGTGACGGCGGCGGCACTTGGAGCTACTCAGTGCTTATCAAGAGGGCCCTTGGAGGAGCTACCAACGGCGCACTCCTCATTGCCTCTGACAAACACCGAGGTGGCAAAATTGCACTTGTGTGGAAAAACAAGAGAGGCTGCACGGAGTGGGCATTAAACCCCACTCAGTCACAGCCCCACGGACTCGCGACAATAGAAATGCGCCTCTGCTTCTTGAACATAATCTCTCCGTAGATGCTGCAAATGACCATCGCGGTTGGCATTGCGCACTTCTTTATATGCGCGTTCCAGAATTAAGGATTATATTTGATGGATTTTTATTCCTGCAAAACATCTTAAACTATTAATGTAACTGTGTTTTTAGATAAAGCATATTTTTTTGTTGCAAGGGATTTTATGTTTTGTCAACAACGATGAGAATGTTCCACATTACGCCCGACATTGGCGAGGATGCTGGGACCTATTGAGGGCTGATGGTGAATTTGGGCTCCTGTTGTTGTCATCACAATATGCCATGGACCTCAATTTAATTACCATCAGTAGTATCTTCAAATCCTTAACACTGTGCCAAATAAATGGATATATAAACTAGATTTGGTGCTTTCGTGACTGCAGGAATTAATCTTTGCTTTTTTCGGTAAAGTCACGTAGAAATAAGAAAAATAAAATTATATATTAAGTAAAATTATATATTCTGTAATTTTATTTTTCTTATTTCTCCGTGACTTTACCGAAAAAAAAACAAAGATTTAATGGATATATAGTATGTTCAGATGTTAGTGAGACAAATATTAAAAAAAATCAGTGAGAAATATTTGATTTAACACTCATATAACAACAGTGGCTCCATTATAGACTTAAATATTAACGAAATAAAAAAAATGTTTCACCAGGTAAAGCCCACTGAGTTGTATAGCTCTCTTTCAGAAGCGGCCTGGCCACAATTGATAGCTCAATTAAGTGGCTTATCATTATGTGGAAATGTATTGCAGCCAAATACTGGAAACGCGCGCTTCTAAATGTGGAGAGAAAAACCAGAGGACCCGGATAAAAATCTACGCGACCACGTGGAGAACATGCAAACTCCAAATATACAGGCGTCAGGGTCGGGATTGAACCCACGACCTCCTGCATACCAGGCGATGGAGATAACATCTCACCACCGTGGCACCATGGTACCCACCTCTGTTTGTGGGCCTGAACAAGTGATGTAAATTCCACATTCCTATGGTGGGGGTCAGTCCTTCTACGGCACAAATTAAAACTTGTGAATGCTTGTGGTGGTTTCATAAGTGGATGTGCGTATCCATGTGTGTACGCACACAGCTACAGCCACTGCTGAGTGAGGGCGTATCCACAGTCCTTGGGGTTGTTTGACCTTACTTCACCACATCAGTTAGTGTGGGTTGGTGAAGGGAGGACTGAGGACTGAATTGAGATGTTACTCACCACTGATGTTAGCCATGGCCAGGAATGAAACTCAAGTTTCCAGATTCATAGTGCACAGCACTAAACAATTTTACGCCACCACTCCCCCCTTACACTGTGACCCACACTTAATCTTCACAAAAGTGGCTTTAACAAGCCAACGTGTTTCTTTGCTCACAACCATTGGGTGGTAATTATCTTCATTTACGGTGGCGAGCCATTTCCCTCTTACAGGGGGCCGGTTACCCTGAGAGCTTCAGCTGTGAGCAACTCGTGTGGACGAGTCCGTGATTTTCTGTGGAATGGAAGGCCATCAGGTCCCCAGCAGGGCCCCCAGCAAACGGTGGAAGAGCGGGACACAGGTGAAGAGATCTGCCCCAGGCCACGTCTCTCCCCTCCGGTGCTTCGTGGCCACATGGCTCAGCATACATTGGGCCCCGCGTCTCCTCCTGGAAGCTGTGACTCTCGCCACCTTTCCTCTGTCATCGTGTCAGCAGAAAATAATGAAATGTTGCTCTTCCACAATCCGATTTAAGCGCGTGTGGTTTATTAAGCGACGGAGCGAGGCAACGACAAAATCGGCACGGCGGCTTGTACGGAGCGGCTTGTACGGAGCAACGCGGATTTCTGCGCCCGGGCGTCGCAGCGAGCGGCCTCGCCGGGGCCACCAGAAGCCGGAGCTTTGAAGTGCTCTCTTTAAACAAAATCAGCATTTTTGTAAACCAGTCATGTTGAGAGAGGTTTTTTTTTAAGGAGTTTAAAAAAAACAAACAAGAAGGAACAGCAAAGCAACTCTGGAGAGGACCCACAACAAAGGGGGAGGGGAGTTTTAGGCATTAAAAAAATTCTTACTGGCTAAAGCAAAAGGGTAACTCAATCCTCCGAAACGTGGCTTTTTGAGAAAGAACGAGAGGGAGAGAGAGAAGGGAGAGAGAGTGCCGACTTTGAGGCGCTTCTCACCAACCGAGCGAAACGAACTGGGAGCGAGACGTTCCGTGGGTTGACGGCTCTTGCCTGTATGCGCATTGCTTACGGACGTTTTTTCTTCTTCTGATAAAACAAAAAGTTGGCCAAACTTCCCTTCGTGACTTTGAAATATTCAGCTGTGTCCGAAAAGTGAAAAAGCACTCTTCGACCATTTTAAGTGCCGGCATCTTCTGTTTGCGGACCTTGACTGGAGCCGGCGTGTGTCTGAGTGAGCATCCAGCACTGCATCGTAGACGCACGGCACGTCGTGACGGGTCGTAGCAGCTTGAGCGGAGAGGCCTCGCTGGACCCGTGCACCACTGTCACCGTCAACATTATTTGCGGAGTACCACGCAGTCAAAACCTGGTGTTTTGTTGAAACAAATCGCAGTTGCGAGAGTTCTTTGGACTACTTCCCACGGCCCTGCCAACCACCAGTGGCCACGGGTCAGAAGCCACTGATCGAGACGAACCCGCTTTACTAATCGCTGACGTCGGTAGTCATCAGGTTTTAAAACAGACGTAACATTATGAGTAACATTAACAGCTGTGCCAATGTGGTCATTCTAAATCATATAATTTTTCATTTTTGGTCACATCGAATACTTTTGTTTAACACAATGACCAAGACATATCCATCATAATAATTATCATTATAATATGTGGCATTCGTTTAAGAGCTTAACTAACGTAACGATCTACGCTATCGTTTAACGTGACGCTTTGTGACAGCGACGCAGAATCATCGTTTCCTCTTCTCTGCCAGTGCGGTGCTCGTGTCCACTTGTGGAGGAGGCTAAACACCACCACCACCGTGAGTGAGTGAGTGACATGACGAGAGTTTGCCATTTTGCCGCGGGTGCAATCGGCGTCCGATGTAGGAGGGCCCAGGTTTAAAAACAAATGGGAACAAAGGGGCAGCTTATGTGCATCCAGGTAAGGACACCGGTAGCCGCAGCAATTTACTTCCCACCGCTGCTGTTTTTTTTCTCTCTGCGATCGCCTCTTTTTTTCTGTCCCTTCACGAAATGTCTCCATGGTGACGTTTACACGTCTACACGTGGTGCGCAGGGCTCGTCTCGGCCGAGGGAAACGCGAAGGGGGAGCGGCCGCCCTCTCTCGGGTTACACCTTGAACAATGCAGCGCCACAAAGGCGGCTTTCACGGAGGCCTCTTTCAGGTGGGGAGAAGGAGAATCCGTTCGCGAGCCAGGCCGGAATTTGGCTTGCGCCGCTCTGCACTTAGCGTCGGCCCGAATAAAGCACAGAGCCCCCGTGACAGCCCCGCAGCGAGCCGAGCACAGCATCTCCTCTGTCACGGCCCCGTTTTTCAAAATTTCCAGGGACACCATATGCTCGGCACCGCGGCCGGCGCTTTAATGGGCGGCTGGGAGGCGGCGCGCCTGAAACTCGACGCTCGCCCCAGCGGCCGTGCGCGGGGTGCGGCGTCGCGGAGCGAGCGGGCGCGCAGCAGCAGCCCCCCGGCAGCGAGAGGGCAGCAGCAGCCCCCCGGCAGCGAGAGGGCAGCAGCAGCCCCCCGGCAGCGAGAGGGCAGCAGCAGCCCCCCGGCAGCGAGAGGGCAGCAGCAGCCCCCCGGCAGCGAGAGGGCAGCAGCAGCCCCCCGGCAGCGAGAGGGCAGCAGCAGCCCCCCGGCAGCGAGAGAGAGGTGCCCAGCGCCCCTCGCCCCGCTGGCCAGCAACAATGGTGCCCGGCACCGCGCTAATGAACATTCTATATATACAGTCTTAATTTCAATTAAATTAAATACAAATGTAACTTTCAGAACTAAACATTTATTTCATAATATTAAAATGTAATTATGTTACAAATAATTTCAAATGATGCTTTCTGTTTCACTGTTCTTATTTAAACCCAAATCTCCCTTTAAAAGGGGACTTCTGGTCCCAATGGGCTCTTACCTGGGTCATATGTAAATGTCCTCTCTGACCAATCAAAAACAAAAGGAAATACAAAATGAGCATTAATCTCTCAAGTATGCACTGCCCCAAGTGAACATGCGAAGTTAGTCTGTGGGTGCATCAACTCGCATAGAGAGTTGAAAGAATGGCTTAATCGCTTACAGCCGAATCTCTCATTGTCACTTGACAAGGGCCATAAGAAAACAGAATTTACATTTCCAACACTAAGAGAGAAAATAACTGGAGATTATGAAAGTCGACTCAATAATAATAAAAAAGTAATCTTTAGACTACGTGCTTTCAAAAGTAGTGTCCATTGAGATTGTTGACCAGTTCCTTCTGAGTAACAATTGTCTGTTTCGCAGGAGCAGCAGCAGCAGTAGATGGATTGGACATGAGAAGGTTGAGAGGGTTGAGAGATATGGCGCTGGTGGAGTTCTGCATGCAGAGCGGTGGGTAAGTTGGAGAGATGTGTGGTTTAAGCTGCTGGGAAGCCATCGTCAGAAGCTGATGCTTATCTTAATTGCCTGTGGGTGGGAGTGTCCATCATTATGTTATCTGCAGGCTGGGGAACGGTCATTAGCGGGAGGAAGTGTTTGGCAGCGGCTAACGCCAAAGCTCTCAGGGATAAGGACACAAAACTACCCCACTTACGCTCCCACACCCGCCACCCACGGCAGCATAAAACAACACAAACACGGCCACTCCAGCGCGCTCAGTGGTAGCGTGGGGCCGGTGTACAATGGGGGAGGAGGGGCTTTTAGAAATGTGGCTGTGCCCCATTAAATTCTTCACCCAAGGAAGCTCATTATCACCATCATCGCCCACCATTATCGGCACTATCGGCACCACCGTCGTCGTTGTGTCAATGTTGGGCCCCGTCGTTCGCACTGAACGTGTCTGGAGGCAAACAACCGCCCGCCCACCGGGTTGAGACGCCGGGGGATTGCGTCCACTGACCCCAGGCAAAGTCATTCTTTCAAAACTTTTGGCCGTCAGAAAAAAATGGCTCGTCTTTGTTCAAAAAAACAATGCACGTGTTGAGCCAAAGCACTAAACCGCGCATGTGGATAATAATTCATCGCGTTCGCATCACGTGCCGCGCGCTGCCAACGTCGTCACGGAAGGGTTTCTACGTTTACGAGCCCGACTCCTCTCCGAGAGAAACCCGCGAGCACTCTTCTCACGCACACATCGTCAGCTTTAACGCAAAACTGGTTTCCTGAATTGGTCGCCCCAAATTAACACCGTATTTTTGTAACAGTTTTACATCGGTTTGTTGAGGGCGTCGTTATATATTTTTTTCTCAGACAAATTTGCAGGGGTCAACGTATTTAATTCTAAGCACATGCTGAGACTCGTATAAACCCTACAACAGGTACGTAACTAAATGATGCAAGGGTTGCTCGTGACAGAAAGACATTTACAAAAAATGTAATAATTAGGATTTCAGATAACTATTACCACAAATTAAAATTGTAAGTTTTTCCAGGGTTCGGTCCTCGAAGTCATTGCATATGAACCACGTGACTGTGGGCTATGTGGTTATTTCACCGACACAGTTTATTGACCCCATGCAGGAGATAGCCTGAGGCAACTCACAACAACGTGCAACTCTGTGTGAGTCGAGCGATTTCACCGCAGTGCGACGACCTATCCAGATGGCTCGAGAAGCTCTCAACCCGCCCTTGAACAGGCCAGGCCACCTCACTGTGGCAACAGAAGAGCTGGGCACGCTGGTCACCACTGGCTCAGCACCGTCACAGCTGGGTCTCATCTAATTTATGAACGAAAGATGAGTACCATGCATGCAAATAACCACTTGACTTTGCACATGCGCTACTGCCATAAATCCAAAATCAAATCTTACAGTTGAACAAGTCGGTTATACTTCCATCGTTGTTTCAGAAAAGTAAAACGGGCATCTTCTCTGGCCCTTAAACAGTGCTTGATAAACTCTTACACAGGTGCCTGCTAATCAGTCAAATGTGTTTGTTTGGAAGTTGGGAGATGACATGGTCACCTGGTGCTGGTGTAATGTGCGAGTGTACCCCACTCAATTTCTCGGGAGCTCTCCAACCACGGCTAAAGGGCCCGCAAGCACGGCGAGTGCGCTACACGCGTGCATGCCTGCCAACACGAGATGACCGTGCCTCCCGGTCACTTCACAGAGAGCCCCATCTCACCGCATCGCTGCTCGGCACTGCATCGACCAATGGGCAAACCGAGCAGGATTCCCAACGCAGGAATCAAAGAGGCCTCGTCTCCCAGGAGATGGGCGTTTTTTGTGTTGCAGGGGATGGCGACGGCGGTGTACAGAGGTGTTAAATCCGATACTTCTGCCAGGGCAAGCAGAGCTGCGAGCAAGTATCGGATGCTCTTGCGCAACGTGTGGACGGACTGCGTGAATGAGATCAAGCCAGCCTCTGGCTGCAGAGGATTTGTCCACTCGCAGGCCCAGGCTGTCATTCAAGCTTCTTGACAGCCCGGAAAATGACATTGTCCGTGACCTCTCCCTGGCCTCTCAGCTCCTCTCATCGTTCTGCTCTGTAAAAACACAGGCGTGCATTGGAAATCTGTCGTGTGCCGCTCTCTATACCTGCGGGGAATGCTACTTTATTTGAAAAAAACGGAAGGGCCGGAAATATATGGTGGTCTTGAGGGTAAACATGCAGTTCTTTCAAGTAGGAGTATGTCGGAGTATACGGGTAAATCCTGTTTGCAATGTGCTGGTGCTGTCATAACACTGCTCGTTCCTAAGTACGAAGCGCGGAGTAACACACTGTAAGTGTGTCTTGTTCGCAAACACACCTGTCCTTCCACCACTTTATTTATAGCATCTGGAAACAGACGATTGTACATTCACACAGCCCTGGTCACACACGCATGCACGCACGCACTCAAAGACACTCTGCTCAGGTGCGGATGCTGTGGGCGAGCACATGTGCAGCATGGCACACAGCAATGTGGTGTGGGCAGCAACTCGCCTTGTGATCACATACCGAGTTAGATGCCCAAGACGGGTTCAGATACCTTTCACCTGGTCACACTGCCCATGGCCAGGGATCATAGCCTGGTCGCCCTCACTGTGGTGCCATGCGCTAACCGCTGAGCCACTGCTCTCCACCATAATTGAATAGTGAAATGGGCCAATGGGTTTATGTGTTTTTAGAAAGGCACTTTGTTATGGTAATTGTCCATAAGCAAATATCTGTTATTCTCTACTGATAGGGCTATTCATTATTCCGCTGAAAATATCTGGAAAGGGCATCTGTGTAAGCAGGGGTTGATTCTGTCCTATGAATGTTCAGTCCTCCTGAACAAATCTGCTAGCACCGATTGATTAACAAGGACATCACAATGATAATTATGGGACTCAGCCCATCATCTGCCTGGGGTTGATCAAATAAGTACCACTCTGTGAGAAGCCAAGAGTCGTTGACCTACAGAGAGATTGTCTCGCACAATGGGAATGTGGAATTTCCACATTGGGCTGTGGAATTTCCGCAAGCTGCGGGCTGCCAACAAACACGAGCCCACACCCACCTGAGCCTGAAGACGCTGCTCACTATTTTAGGGGCGATGCATCACGCACGCACTTGACGCGTCGTTTTTGCTTTGACGCTTCTGCACAAGCGCACGTCGGCAGCCGCTAATGTCCATTAGAAATAGAATTACTAAAACCGAGCCGCGTGACGGTCAGACACGATTAGTGCATGAAGACAGGCTGTCAGTCAGCCTGCGAGCGAGCGAGCGAGCGGGGTGATTGAGAACCGTGCCTCCAGAACCACATGACGAATAGGGGATCAGCGTGGGTCGTCAGACTCGTCAGCGCCGTTTACTCGCGAGAGTCGGCTATGGACAGGGAGCGACCCCCACGCGAAAAACAAAATATTATTATCTCAGCTCGCCTCCTCTCTCCTCTGGCAGGCCGTCGCGCGCGCGAGTGTTGACACAATGTGCGTGCGTGCAAGTCTAAGAAGAGGTTGATGTGTGTTGATGTGTCATCCATCACCGATGCTTGAGCTGTCAGCAGAGACCATCTCCCATCTCCCATCTCTCCCCCCAGACGCTTCGTCTGCAGTCAGCCCCCCCTGACCCTCCCCGCATTTCTCAAGCGCGATTTCACGCACTTCCCTTACGCAGCGACGCGAGCCTCCTCCTCTTGTCCCGGCAACCGCAGAGGGTGCAGGACAAAGTGCCGTTACACTCACACACTTCATGTTACAATACACGTTACACTCACACGTTACACTCACACACTTCGCGTTACAATACACGGTACACTCACACACTTCACGTTACAATACACGTTAGACTCACACGTTACACTCACACACTTCACGTTACAATACACGTTACAATACACGTTACACTCATACACTTCATGTTACAATACACGTTACACTCACGTTACACTCACACACTTCATGTTACAATACACGTTACACTCACACGTTACACTCACACGTTACACTCACACACTTTATGTTACAATACACGTTACACTAACGTTACACTCACACACTTCGCGTTACAATACACGTTACACTCACACGTTACACT